CCTGGGACAAAGTGTCTCCCCAAAGCATGATCCACTTAGTCAGACTAGCCTACAACATTTGAAATTTCCCTTTGTTCATGCGACCATCTGGTGTGGGTAATCCGAGATATTTACCTTCAAAATCTGCAGTTTGAACTTGCAACACTTGTTTGACCTCGGACTGTGCCACCGTAGGACAATTATCACCAAACTGGATGGAACACTTTTGTGGGTTTATAAGTTGGCCCGTAGCCCGTGCGTATCTATGGATAACGTCCTTCACATAATTGGCCTGCTCAACATTAGCTTTGAAGAACAATAGGGTATCATCAGCAAACAACAAGTGAGATATCCCCGGCGCTCTGCTGCAAATCTTGACCGGTTGGACAGCCTGTGATTCCACTCCCTGTCTCAGCAATGCAGATAAACCATCAGCCACAAATAGAAATAAGAAAGGCGATAGGGGGTCACCTTGCCGAAGCCCTCGTGTCGGTGCAAACGAATCCAAGATGACTCCATTGAATTTAACGGATATCTCACAGTGGTGACACATGACATTATCCATTGTACCCACTGGTGAGAGAAGCCCAACTTGATCATCGCTTGCTCCAAGAACCCCCAATCCACCCTGTCATATGCCTTTGAAAGGTTCAGTTTGTACGCACAAAAACTATTTTCAGGGTTTTTCTCATGCTGAATAAAGTGCAGGCACTCAAAGGCTAGGAGCGCATTATCAGTAATCAGGCGCCCGGGGACAAAGGCACTTTGGTATGGTGATATGATCTCATCAAGCACGGGACGCAATCTGTTTACTAAACACTTAGCAACAATTTTGTAAATGACATTACATAGGCTTATAGGCCTGAAGTCAGTGAGGCGAACTGGGTCGTCGACCTTTGGAATTAGAACAATTACTGTATCATTTACTCCTTGAGGCATGTTACTTGTTCGGAAAAACTCTCTGACAGCCATTACAATTTCCTCCTTCATCACTGCCCAGTTTTTCTGAAAAAACCTTGCTGGAAATCCATCCTTCCCCGGGGCTTTCAGTGGCCCCATTTGAAACAAGCTGTCAGATATTTCTTTTTCTGTGAACTCAGCACATAAACGATTATTCATTTCTTGTGACACTTTCTCTTCAAATAAAGACAAAACTGGCTGCGGGTCAAGACTGTCATCACGAGTAAACAAGTTTTCAAAAAAAGAAGTGGCCATACCCCCCATTACCTTACTGTCACCATGGCTGCAGCCCGCTGCATCAATCAGGCGTTTGACCTTGTTCCTG